GGGCTGCCAGGTGCTTGCGCTGATATTCCTCGGACCCCTCGATAGACACAGGTCGGGTCATGGAAAGGGATACGTCCATTACCACCACCGTAGGCATGATGAAAGTGATCCCAGTGTTCCCAGTCAGAATGTAAACAGATAGCTATAGATAGAGAAATGCTGTAGAAAATAAATATGATTAGGTCTTGCATGTCATGGAGAGAAAAAAGTATTTTTTTAATCATAATTTTAACCTAACTTTCCAGAAATAAGTGAAGGCAAACCCCATCTAAGTGGAGGTGAGGACAAATCTGCAGGGAATTCAGTGGGAGGGAAGCAAGCAGCTTAGTTCACTGTGAGGACCACTCCTAGAATCACCCACTAAATGGCCATAAATCAAGGACCATCTTAAATGTTTCTAGTAAAAACAAAATAAAACAAAATATTAAATTCAGGGAGCTCTTGAGTTGAATACTTTCAAATCTTACACAACTTAATATAACAAACACTCCTACATCACCTCTCCGACACTTAATTTACTAAAGAACATTTCTAGTTGTCTTATGGTGGTACTTTTTGACAATCAACCATTCTTTTTGGGCACCATCACTATCTTACTCAATACAGCAGTATTTGGGCAAGTGTTTGCTGAATTATCTTGTTGCCTAATGTCCTTTTTAAAAAAATTAAAATGAACGCAAAATATAAAAACAAAAAGTCGGGCTTCCCTGGTGGCACAGTAGTTAAGAATCTGCCTGCCAATGGAGGGGACACAGGTTCGAGCCCTGGTCCGGGAAGATCCCACATGCCGCAGAGCAACTAAGCCTGTGCACCACAACTACTGAGCCTGTGCTCTAGAGCCCATGAGCCACAGATACTGAGCCCAGGTGCCACAACTACTGAAGCCCATGCGCCTACAGCCCGTGCTCCGCAACGAGAAGCCACCGCAATGAGAAGCCCGCGCACCGCAACGAAGAGTAGCCCCCACGGGCCGAAACGAGAGAAAAGCCTGCATGCAGCAACGAAGACCCAACGCAACCAAAAATAAATAAATAAAATAATAAAATAAAATAAATTATTTAAAAAAAAAGAAAAGGCTGGTAAAGTCATAGTCCAAATTAGACAAAGCTGGAAATCATTAAGCATGACAAAAACAACAAACTGCTAGCCTCAGTAGTACTCACTGCAGATAAACGAGGCAACAGCTCTTTAACTATGAAGGAAAAGAGCAAAATTAAAGAATATGTATGACAGCTGGCAGTATCTCTTGAAACTGTATAAAAGTCAAAATGTAGAAGAAATGGAGAAAACAAAGAGCTTTTAAAATTATGGATTGAGAATTAGCATGAAGAAAACATTTCTGTGCTCAAAAATAAAGAAAAAAGTTCCCAGATATACAGATCTGCTCTTGCTGCTGCTGCTACTCTATTATTAAGCAAACTATAGTCTACTCACACAATTAAATATCATATAGCTATAAATAAATCATACATATACAGATATCAGAAATATTTATATAGTATTAGTAACTGAGAAAAGCAGGTCACAGGCCTGTATGTATACACCGATTACAACTTCATAAAAATCATACTGCATATATTGCATATATACAATTTTGCATATATACAATTAGAGAACACTCAGGATGGACATAAACAAGTTAGAAAATTTAATGTTCACTAATTTCTTTTTTGGAACTTACTTCAAAACACTTAACAGTGGCCAGAGGGCTTGTTTTAGTACAGTGTCCAACTGCAAACGTGTGCTATTCTAAAATTCCATTTGTAAGTAGGCTGTTGGGAACTCTGAGCATATTGCCTCACAGAAACAATGTTATAAATGGGGATCAGGGACTCATGTCAAGTAGGAAAAGCCTTTTTACCACATAATGGCCTTTCAAATACAAATGCCTCATGTATCCAACATCGATAAAGACTAAAGGAGATATATAAATTACTCTTCCAGACTGCTTTCCAAAATGTTTAACCATTTTGATAGAAAAAAACTAAAATGTGGGATTCCCTGGTGGTGCAGTGGTTTAAGAATCTGCCTGCCAATGCAGGGGACACAGATTCGAGCCCTGGTCTGGGAAGATCCCACATGCCGCGGAGTAACTAAGCCCGCGCACCATAACTACTGAGCCTGCGCTCTAGAGCTCGCAAGCCACAACTACTGAGCCCACGTGCCACAACTACTGAAGCCCGCACACCTAGAGTCCGTGCTCCACAACGAGAAGCCACCGCAATGAGAAGCTTGCGCACCGCAAACAGTGGCCCCACTCTTCACAACCAGAGAAAAGCCGATGCACAGCAACGAAGACCCAACGCAGCCAAAAATAAATAAAATAAATTTATTTTTAAAAAAAACCAAGGGGCTTCCCTGGTGGCGCAGTGGTTGAGAGTCCGCCTGCCGATGCAGGGGACACAGGTTCGTGCCCCGGTCTGGGCAGATCCCACGTGCCGCGGAACAGCTGGGCCCGTGAGCCATGGCCGCTGAGTCTGCGCGTCCGCGTCCGGAGCCCGTGCTCCGCAACGGGAGAGGCCACAACAGTGAGAGGCCCGCGGACCGCAAAAACAAACAAACAAAAAACCCCAAAATGTGCATCCTTATTCTGCGCCTCATTAAGCACAGCATGTTAAACATAATTCACTCTGACTTAGCATCACAACTCTGAACACCAATACTGCCCAGCACGCTGCTGCCCTCTTGTTTTAATTTATACCAGCATTCTCCCAAGTGTGTGCTGCACAACACTGCCCTGGAGGGATGTGCCAAGAAAAATGAGTTCAGGCCTTATTAAAGACACTGAGAAGCTCTATAGCAAAGAATCCAGTTTGTTAACTCTGTGTTTCCCATTTAACCCTTCTCTGATCATTAGTTGATGCCATGGAACAAGTATATAGAACATACCCAGAAACACTGCCTTGTACTCAAGGGATCCAGGCTGTTGTGTTCTGTTTTGGTGCCTCCTCTTTGTAACTAAGTTTTGGACCATCATTTTGCATCCCACTTTTCTCTGTAATCATCCTCCCTCTTTCCGATTTGTTGCTTTTTGGCTACTATGAGCTGGAAAGCCAGGTAATCCAGCTTGCTAAAACTGTGTCCGAAGTCAAAGTTAACAGGCTCTGAGAGCCTGTGAGTTTCTTCTGCTGTCACGTGCATGTGCTTAGGCATTATCAACTTGGTGCTATTTCATCTACTCAGTCTTTCCAGACCCTTTCTGGGTCTCAGCTGTGTTGTTCAAGAAGTGAGGTCCTGTGCAATACTGGTTCAACTACACTACATTAGACGATAAGCTCAACAAGAGCAAGGACAGTGTGAGATTCTGCCCACCAATGTCTCCTCAGAACCTATCACAGCAGTGGGCACACAGTATGTATTGACAAATACTTGACAATGACAAGTAAACTACCTCTCAGCACCAGATGTAACATTAATTTTTTGGCAAAACACATTACAAATTTTAACTCTGGACACCAGAAACACACTTCCTCCTCTCCTCGTTCAAGCAGAGATATCAGGAACTCCTATGCCTCTACCCACGTATAGAGTTTATCCAGCTCCTATGGTATTCCCATTCAGGCACAGAGGTCTTTACGTTACTGAAAGCTGGGGATGCGGAGTACTGGCCTCATCTCTTAGGAGAATGAGAATCAGGATACACAGATTTAGATCATATATAAGAAAGCATTTCCAGCTCATGAAATCTGCTGTAACACTGTAATGGGTGACCATAGCTGGCAGGCTTGCATTCTGGGAAGACACTTATGGAGCTGGCTCTTTCTTCAGACTGATGCATTTGTGTCCACCCCCAAACACACCTTCCTAACAATGGCAAAGTCATGGGAAACCAATTTAGAACTCAGGTTGTCAGCACAGAAGTAAAAGATGGATGGATGTTCTTGAAGGATGGTTCACTCAAGTAGCCTAAGCCTGATTAAAAAAAAAAAAATCCCTGCCCACACAGTCCAGCAATTTTGTGAAAACACCATGTTACTTCTCTCTTGGGTTGATTCTTACCCTAAGGTCCTCCACCCCACCCCCATAGCCTTCTCGTAAGTACAGTTTACATACAATGCTTAAGACAACTAGTGGTCTCCTTTTCTCAAGTAGCCCTTAGCCCCTTGATTTGGTCATCTCCATTAGCTACACATTTATAATTCTTCCCAGAAGGAGACAATTGGCTCGTTCATAAAGAAGTGATTCTGAGGAGTATCGCTCTTAAAGCGTGATTCCACTCGAATTTCTAGGGATCCGCTAACCTACTCTTAAGTTTGTCTGTTGGCCTCACATCTCTTGCCCGGATGAGTCCCCTCCACCGTTCTCGTTACAACTTCACCTCTGAAATGCCAACCTGTAAACACAGAACTCCTGCATTTGGATCGCGTCTGCCTGGGGATGTATTTTTACCTTAAAATCAGTCAAAAATCTTTAAGATCTGGAAGTCTCTTATGGGAAGAGGAGGCGAAGGGGGCCTGGGTAAGGGGCCGACATCGTGGTGCTTGTGCAGAGCTCTGGCGCGGCAGAGCGAAGGGAGAACGAAGGCAGTGGCCCGGAACTGGCGCCGCAGAGACGGCGCGGGGCGGCCACCTCGGCGGCGGAAAGGCCGGGCGTCGGCCCCGCGTTGTTCCCCGCCGCCGACCCCTTCTCCTGCAGCTCCAACAAGCAATCCAAGACAGCCTACGGTCTCCAGCGCCCTCTACTCACCCCGCGCCCATCACCGGTACGGTCCGTCACCAAACCCTTTCCGCCAGCGCGCCGCAGCCGGAAGTATATGGCCGCGCGACGAAACGGAACTCGGCGCCGGGTGTGCGCTAGGCGCTTGGGGCGGGGCTTTAAGGACGTCGTGGGCGGGGCGTTGACTCAGCGGAGAAGCTTCCCGATGCGTCTTCCTCAGCGCTTCACTTCGCAGCGTTTTGTTTGCGGCCACCGCCACGACCCCACTCCCCACGTAGTCCCCAGCTGCGCCGGGCCCGGGCTGTGTTCGCCTCTTCTCTCCCTTCTCGTTCTCGGGCTTTTCCTTATTTGTTTCTGGCCTCCTGCCCACCTGCCTCTCGTTGGCCCGTGGGCCTCACCTGTCTGGGTAACCCCGTGACCAATTCACACTGTCTCCTCACTCACCTGGGCTCGGTGCACCAGCCTGACCCTCGCTGATATTTGCCCCTCTTCCCCGTCCCTCTTCAGACCCCTCCTCTGAACTAGTTGCCAGAATCCTCTTCCTACTCTATAAATTGTAATTCCTGCCTGAGGAGTGCTCATACTGAGCACGCTGTGTATTTTTCGTAGCAGACGTGAGCCAGTTTCCACGTCAAGGCTTTCCCTCTTGGTCTCCTCAGCCCGGATGCTCACTTTATCCCCGAACCCTTTGAGGGAAGTAGAGGGAGGGTTCACTCAGTTCCCCTGCCTTGGCCAAGGTGCGCTGCTGAGGGATTTGCACTTAGGCTTTCCTGTGAGTCATCATGGGCCCTCGCGTACCTCACCTCTCGCCACTTGGTGTCCCCATAGCAGCCTGTGCCTCAGCGAGGTCCTTGAGGGGACAAGGAGTGACTTGCTTTCTAACCTCTTAGAGAGCTAGCAAATGCCAGCTAGAGGTAGGCCTGAATGGATGCCAGCAGGCCCCTGGGTAGTTATGGTTCAAAAAACAATGCTGGACCACCTAGGTTACAAGTGGGAACAGAAAGGCCTCTAGAAGGCTTTAGACCTTTGTCTCCTTTTCTTTTGGTTGGTGGGAGGGGGCGAGGTAGGAGGTGGGTCAAGGAGGGAGGATGCTTTGAACCGAACAACTGAGTCTGTCTGACTTGTTCTGTGGGAGAGTGTGGGCTCCAGTTGCTTGTAGTTCTTTCCTGTCCCCTCCTTATATCAGAGGTGGCAGAGGAAGGCGCATCACTCCATGGGAATGACCCTGTCAGCATCAGGGCCCAGGGGCAGGCAGACTGCCCTATTTGCTTCAGAACTTCTCTCCCCAACTTGGCTGGTTTCACCATCTCAAGACCCTTTTATGCTTGAGCAGGCACTGGAATCTAAGTAAGTAAGGCTGCATTCTGATTACTTCGTTATAGTTTCTTGTTCTTTCCCTAGTGGGAGGGATGTGGCCAAGAACGTGTGGGCAAGGGAATTTTCGAGCTACCCCTAATGTGATGATGACTTAGCCCTGCGGTCACTGTTCTCCTGGTAGTTCCAGCTCAGCTCCATGGACTGATTCATTACCTTACCCAGGCCTAAAGATTATTAGTTTGCTGATGGGTGATCACATCTTCTAGTTCTTCTGAATACAGGCTTTCAGGAGACCAGGGAAGCAAAAGGCAATCGATTAAAACTGATGATAAAAGGTAGGACTACCAAGAGGACCACATCACTTAGGGCAACTGGTAAGTGCTTTTGTTTTTGTTTTTTAATTCTTAGTAGAATCCCATTAAAAATCAAAAGGTTGTTGAGTGAATATAAAATCAGAGAACATTAGCACAAAGAGTTAGAAGGTCTTAAAGGAGAGGTCTTTCAAGCCATAGCTGGCTAATAAATTTCTTTTTCCCACTCAAGAGACCCTTAGCATTTGCATGGTTCCACACATACATTAAAGGAAATCGGTAAACAACTTCCTTTGCATAATCTATCATTCCCTTTATTTTTTCCTGCTTTGAAACAGTAGACAGCTGTCACAGAGGCTTCGAAAGGGAGAGTGATTTGGTCTCCAGTCTGGCAGAGTAAAGGTTAGTGACAGAAATAGTAAGCTGCTCACAGAAGCCACGTACTGGGTTCAAGGGAGGTTCATATACCCATCCAGTTCTCCAACAGCACGTGTTGAAAATGTAGATTCCCAGGCCATGCTGACTGAATTGGAATTTCATGGGTTGGTGCCTGGAATCTTCATTGTTAAGTTCCCAAGATGATTTCCTTCCTCACCTACAGAGAGGAAGGGTAAGGAGTGAGTGAGTGAGGAAAAGGGGAAGAGAGAGGTTAGGGGAAGGTGGTGAGCCCACATTCCTTTTCTGTTCTTCCCTCCCTTTCCATTTTCGGTGCTGTCCTTTGCCCTATGTCTTCCTTCCTGCCTCCTCTAGTCTGGACCGTGTCCACTTCCAAATCATACTTCCAAGCTCCAGGCTATCTGCTTTCCCTCATCATCCTACCCCATTCCTCTATTTTCACCAAAGTGAAAGTCCAAAGAAATTGTATATATGACCCTTTTGTCTTCTTAAAAATTTTTATCACTGAAGATTTTCAAACACAGACAAAGATAGGGGAATAGCATAATAAATCCCCATGTACCCTTTACCCTATTTCTACTCTCAACTCAATTCTCAGTCTTGTTCCATTTATACCCCTACCCACTTCTCCCCAACATATTGTTTTGATACAGATCACAGATAGCATAACATCTTGTCCATAAGTATTTCATTATGTAGCGTAACATCTTGTCCATAAGTATTTCATTATGTATCTCTAAAAGAGAAGGATTTTTTAAATTAATAAACTTTATTTTTAGAGCACTTTTAGGTTCACAGCAAAGTGGAGTGGAAAGTACAGAGAGTTCCCAAATACTCTGTCTGCACACACACAGCCTCCTCCACTATCAGCATCCCAGCACCAGAGTGATACATTTGTTATACTCTATGAACCTACATTGACACATCAATATCACCCAAAGTCCATAGTTTATTATAGGGTTCACTCTTGGTGTTGTAGATTCTATGGGTTTTGACGAATGTATAATGACATGTATCTACCATTGTAGTATCATACAGAGTAGTTTCACTGCTCTAAAAATCCTTTGTGCTCTTTTTATCCCTCCCTCTCCCATGACTCCCAGGAACCACTGATCTTCTACTGTCTTCATGGTTTGCCCTTCCCAGAATGTCATATAGTTAGAATCATACAGTGAGCAGTCTTTTCAGATTGACTTCTTTTGCTTAGTAATATGCATTTAAGTTTCCTTTATGTCTGTTCATGGCTTGATAGCTCATTTCTTTTTAGTGCTATATAATATTCCACTGTTTGGAAGTACCACAGTTTGCTGAAGAATATCTTGGTTGCTTCCAAGTTTTGGCAGTTATCACTAAGGCTGCTATAAACATCCTTGTGCATGGCTTTGTATGGGCATAGGTTTTTCAACTCAATTGAATAAATACCATGGAGAGAGATTGCTGGCTTGTATGGTAAGCATATGTTTAGTTTTGTAGGAAACTGCCAAACTGTCTTTCAGAGTAGTTGTACCATTATATATTCCCAGCAGCAGTGAATGAGAGTTCCTGATGCTCTACATTCTCACCAGCATTTGATGTTGTCAGTGTTCTGGATTTTCACTATTGTAATAGCTGTATAGTGGTATCTCATTGTTGTTTTAATTTGCAGTTCCCTAGTGTTACATGATGTTGAACATCTTTTCATATGCTTACATGCCATCTGTATATCGCCTTTGGTAAAAAGACCTGTTCAGGTCTTTTGCCCATTTTTTAATCAGGTTGTTTGTTTTCTTATTGAGTTTTTTTTTAAACATCTTTTATTGATTGATTAATTGATTGATTGAGTTTTTGGCTGCATGTGGGATCTTAGTTCCCTGACCAGGGATAGAACCCACGCCCCCTGCAGTGGAAGGTGGATTCTTAACCACTGGACCACCAGGGAAGTCCCCCTTGTTGAGTTTTAAGTGTTGTTTGTGTATTTTGGATAACAGTCCCTTATCAGACATGTATTTTGCAAATATTTTCTCCCAGTCCGACTTGTCTTCTCATTCTCTTGACAGAGAGAGACTTAAACCCACAACAATTACACTACCATTGTCACATTTAAAATAATTAACAATAAATCTCTAATATCATCAAATACCCAGTCAGCTTTCAAATATCCAGTTGTCTCATAAATATCACTGCAATCTCTTGATATATCTCTGAAATCTCTTAATCTATAGGTTTATTCCTCCATGTCTTTCTTCATTTGCAACGTATTTGATGAGGAAACTCTGACCTCCCTCTCAATCCTCCTTCAGTCTTTTCCACAGCATTTGAGAAAACCACAGAGCTTCCCCAGTCTAAAATAATGGAAAGACTCATTGAACAAAGAAGCGATTTTGTACAATTCCAGTTTCAATTAACTTCATCTCTGCTCTGTAAATAGGGGTGAATCTTATCCACCACTGGATCCTCAGGGTCTGGCACGTGACACTCGATATGCATTTGTGGAAAGAAGATAGGAGGGAAGGAAGAGAGGTTATTAGAAGAAAGGTCAAAGAGAGAAAACAGAGAACATTTGATGGGTACTACATTTGTCTAAGAAAGTAGAACTGAACTTCTTTATTTAGGACCCCCTCTCCTTTGAAAAATGTTGTAAACTCTAAATTTTTAAAGGCTTCTCATGATCTGGGCCTGCATCTGTCTTGCCAGGCTCACTCTTCACCCTCTTAAAACTTTGGTAGTATATTTCAATGAAAAAGCAGATAAAGCAAAACAAAACTAGTTTTAAAAAAGTTATAAAAGTAATTCATTTATATGGGAAAAATTCAAACAGTTTCAAAGTACATGAAGTGAGAAATTAGTGGTTTTTTCCTAGAAGTAACCACATATATCTCCTTGCCTCAAGTATGGTTCCAGCCGCTGGGTTTGAGAGATGAAGTACCAGGTCTTTTTGTTTTGTTGGTTTTATTCATTCTGTATCTACTGGTGACAAAAGTACAGCTATTCTTACATAGTCTTTGCAAAGTTGTTTCTACCTATGTGCGTGTGTGTGTGTGTGTGAGTGTGTATATTCATTCCTTTTAATTGCTATGTAATTGACTATTGGAAAGATGTGATATCATTTATGTAACCAGTTTTTCATCAATGTTTAGATAGATTTCAGTTTTTGCCCTACAAGCAATGCTGGCAGACCATCGTTGGAGCTTTTCCTCTGAGGTGGGAAGCCACTGGAAAGTTTGGAGTATAGAGACTATGATCTCACAGTTTAACAGCATCACTGTGCTGCTGTATCAGATTTACCCTCTATCCCCAGTGTCTTCACCAGCACTGGATATTAAATTTTTTAGTCCTTTTTAATTGATAAGCCAAAAAAAACCCCCTCACTATTGCTTCAATTGACATTCCTTTGTAAAATCAGATTTGACAGGGTGAGTTTTACTCAATGGGCTGTTTCACACTCACTTAGAGAGGAGTTGTTAATTGTTCTGGTACTGTGTGGATTCCTGCATGGCCACACTGAAGCCCTCTGATAGAGCCTGTCTGATCTCTCCTCTAGACCCCAGGCCCTTCGGGATGGGTACCTGACTGTGAAGCCAAAACCCTGTCTCTGAACTACTTACCAACATGAAGTGTCACCCCCTGCAATTCCCTGCTTCAGGTATGGCTCCAGCCACTGGCTTGGAGAGATGAAATGTCATGGGATGTTTGGGGGCTTATTTTGCTCATTTCCACTAGTGACAACTGCACAGTCATTTAAAAGAAATCCTATAAATGATATAATATAAACAATTAAAACAATATAAACAAAAGCTCTTGAACTATGACACAGTTCAGTATCTGACAGATCCAAGTGCTTCCACACAAGTTCTCACTGTACCTCTTAGAGCAACCCCATGAGGAAGTTCGTCATTCTTGGTTTTATAAGTGAGGAACCTGAGAATGAGAGACCTTTGGAGACTTGCTCCTGGTCAGATTTGTTACTTTATTAGAGTTTGCAAAGTACTAGAAGGTCAAATTCAGCCCCTAGCCCCATTTTGTTTGCCTTTAATATTTTTAAACTGTTTTACATTGGAATGCTTATAGATGGGTCATTCATTCTCTGTCCAGACACAGCCCTTATTACTCTCCGCTGACTTTGAATAGAGCTGATTTAGCTTAATTTTATCCACCCAGGCCCTGAAGGCATTGGATTTTGCACCCCCTGCCAAATCTTGTCTAATTGCACCATGCAACTGTAGGGTCGATATCAACTCCTGAGGTAGGCCCAGAAATAAACCAGCCTCAACCACAAACCCTTAGTGTCAGGTGCAAAGCCTAATTCCTTCTCCCTCCTGTTCTAATAGAACCATGGGAAAGGCCTTGAGCTGCAGAGGGTGGGAGAGGAAAGGCCTACCTGCCATCCTGCCCAGCCCCAAAGCCCTGCCTTCCTCAGCCCCCGATATATTGTGAGAGTCACAGCTAGATTTACCTCACCTGTCCTGCTACCCTGTTCTAGGGAGAGGATAAAATAAGACAACTTTATAGAAAAAGCAGATCAGCTTCCCCTCCTTGGTGGTGCTGGTCTTTCTCCAGCAGTCTGATCTCTGAAAGGCCGTGAGCCTTTATGAGTGGGCATCTCCCCACCCCACACATGTGTAGCTCAGGTGCTCCATCTCTGAGCATCTCATGACTGGGATGTACATTTTCAGTCCATCAACAAATATATTAATTAATTAATTTATTTTTAAACAGAGGCACAGAGTTATTTATTTATTTATTTATTTATGGCTGCATTGGGTCTTCGTTGCTGCATGCGGGGCTTTCTCTAGTTGTGGCGAGAGGGGGCTACTCTTCATTGCAGTGCACAGGCTTCTCATTGTGGTGGCTTCTCATTGCAGAGCACGGGCTCTAGGCACGTGGGCTTCAGTAGTTGGAGCACACGGGCTCAGTAGTTGTGGCTTGCGGGCTCTAGAGCACAGGCTCAGTAGTTGTGGTGTACGGGTTCAGTTGCTCCACAGCCTGTGGGATCTTCCTGGACCAGGGCTTGAACCCGTGTCCCCTGCATTGGCAGGCGGATTCTTAACCACTGCACCACTAGGGAAGCCCCAACAAATAAATTTTTTGAGTGCCAGACACCGTTCTGGACTCTGGGGTTTCAGCCGTGATTAAGACAGGAGCTCACCTGCTAGTAAGAGATTAATGCGAACATTAATCAGGTTATTACACAGTAAAGCGTTGTCACAATGGAATGCATGGAGATCTGCTTCCCACCAACACAGTCTGACTATGATCTCCAAAAGCAGAATAACAACAACGGTACCACCACTGTTAATGTGTTTTACATATTAACATATAACTTAATTCTTACAATAAGCCTACCAAGCAAGTAGTGTCATTATCACCCTCATTTTACAGTCATTGAGAAGTTAAATTCTTGCCTAAACTCACACCACTGGTACAGACAATGCTTCCACTCTTGGTTGAGCAGCAAACTTTTCTATAGCCTGTTGAATTTCAAAGTGTGCCATAACCCCATGAGAACAAGACATAAGGAACCAGGTTTGCCCCCAACAGTTGGGAGTTAGGTTAGACGCTAGAAAGAACTCCTTGGTAACAGTTAGGAGTGTATGAGAGAAAGGAATCCTTTTCTGAGTATTTTTCCTCTCCTGAATTTTCTTTTTATTTGGCCGTGCCACATGGCGGCCTGCAGAATCTTAGTTCCCCGACCAGGGATCAAACCCACACCCCTTGCACTGGAAGTGTGGAGTCTTAACCACTAGACTGCCAGGGAAGTCCTCTCCTGAATTTTCTATATTGCACATATAATGTAAAAATAGAGGAATTATTCTAGAAAAAAAAGATCACTCATAATTTCCCCTCATGAATTGGGTTCCTTTTTCCATCTTTCTGAACCAAACTGTGACTGTGTTAGACAGTTGGTGTAACTAGATCTGGTTTTGCCTGCAGCACTCTTAAGAGGCAACGATGTGGTAACTAGCAGAGGTCAGCCCCTCTACCCAGGCTTACAACACCCAGAGTGACCCCTGGACACCCAGAGATGAAGACAGCTCTTCCACAGAGAGTGAGCGCCACTGTGTGCTTCAGCAGAGGGGTCTGGGTACCTTCACTCAGGGTGAAATAGGGCAGGGATGAAGCTGTGAGGGATTACCTGATATTTCAGATGGAAGTAATCAAAGCAGCATGCTATCCCTGTACCTTGGGGAAAACAGAGAAGGGAAAGAGGAGCAATCAGTAAGTATCAGGCAGAGTTAGCTGAATGATTGAAATGGTTTCCAGGTGAGTGGGTAGGATCATGAGACACCCCCCGCCCCCACTGCCTTGCTCCACTCCCATATCAGTCAGCTCCGGCCATGAGCTAGACGCACAATTCCTCAGGTATCTTGGGATTGTGGACAAAGGATGTTGCCTGCCATATCAGTAAACAAAGGATGACGTGACCGTCAAGCCATCAGCCACTACAGCTGCCCCACACTCCCTCCCAGTGGTGCAGCCGGAGGGGAACTCAGGATGGAGATAAACAGGCTTCTGGCCCTAGATACTTAAGGTACATATCAAAGGAATAATTTCATTAAGTCCAGATGCTTGCATCTTCCCATACATAGAAAAACACTAAACTCATTAACTTGAGATGTCTAATTTTCCTTTAACTAGCAGTAATCTTTTTTTTTTGCGGTACGCGGGCCTCTCACTGTTGTGGCCTCTCCCGTTGCGGAGCACAGGCTCCGGACGCGCAGGCTCAGCTCAGCGGCCATGGCTCACAGGCCCAGCCGCTCCGCGGCGTGTGGGATCTTCCCGGACCGGGGCACGAGCCCGTGTCCCCTGCATCGGCAGGCGGACTCTCAACCACTGCTCCACCAGGGAAGCCCTAGCAATAATCTTTTGATGTTCAACTACCTGGGTTTTCTGCAAAAACTCCTGTGTATCCTGGCTCCTCCCTTACCTCTTCAGAGTAGTCCCTCAGAACTATCTGAGAGGCTGTATCCTGGGCTTAAGTCCTTAGTAATTCCCCAAATAAAACATAATTCTCAAGTTTTAGGTTGTGCTTTTTTTTTTTTCAGTTGACAGTTTGGGTGACCTTAAAGGGACCCAGAGCAGACTTCCCTCCGTCACCTGAACTCTAGGAGGAACCAGAGCCTTGGTACCAGCAGAGGCCTCTTGTGCCCATTCGCCTCCTTGGAGAGTCCAGATGAATTTGGGTGAGTCTCTCCTGGTTCTCAGATCTCCCGATTATTGGTTGATGTTCCTGAGTTTTAATTGGCAGTGTACAATAGGTACCTGGCTACCCAGTTGAAAGATATGGGGTGGGGTGGGGACCTGGTTGAAAGACATTGGGAAAAAGTACCTCCCAGCTGAAAGATACTAGGGGAGCCTGGTTGAAAGACACTAGGTTGCTCAGTTGAGTGACACTGAGCTGTCTAAACTGGGTGATTAGGTAAGAGACTGGCCTAACATCTTTCCTAAATGAGGGGCATCAGAAAGCCAGCCTCCAACTAATACCCCAGCCAGGTTTATGTATATACAAACTTAGCTACAAGTACTTACTTAATTGGGGATTAAAGGAAATCTCTCCCTGAAAATGGCCAATATGGGGCTTTTTATTGTGTAAGCAGTTAAGTTAGAGAAAGCCAGCTTGATAAAACGTTTTTTCAGAATTCTGACCTTAAAGAAATAAAAGCCCTTCTAGGGAGAACTTGCAGTTCTCTCCTTGTGTCTTTGAGATGTGAAGGTTCTACCTGATATTCTTAGAGGGGTGTGTGTGTGTGTGTGTGTGTGTGTGTGTGTGTTTTGAGAGCTTGGTCTCTGCCATCTGGGCGGTACACATATGGTGTACATTTGACAGCCAGTCGAATAGACTGGGATTCTGAGCAGTTTTTTATTGTTGTTTTTGGTCTGGCTGTGCCAGCTCTCAGGGAAATTTGTCATAAGGGGTCCCAGCCAAGAAGGGGCCTTTGTCATCTTAACCTTCATTGCATCCACCTGTACAATGAAGGCCCTTTACTTTCTTAGACTGTTTTTGGGAGTAAACTTTCTAGATTTTGTGGAGGCTACATCTTTTGCACTCTCTTATGGGGATGCCCCTTGCATCTTACTGGTTTGAGTCGCTATTAAAATACTACTCGTCAGTGGCCAAACAATGGATCTTTTAAATTGTAAAACTTTATGTAGAATAATCGTAATAGTGCAACTCTAGGTATGGGAAGAAGCAGAAAATATTTCCTGGATCATAATAGACTAGTAAGACAGGAGATCCAGAGAAATTTTTTTTTTTTTTAGGCTGTGCCATGCGGCTTGTGGGATCGTAGTCCCCCGACCAGGGATCGAACCCGGGCCCCGGCAGTGAAAGCATCAAATCCTAACCACTGGACCGCCAGCCTATTCCAGAGAATTTTAGATTATCAATAGGGCCTGATCCAAAAAGTAGCACATTGAGTGGCCTATCAACAGAATCTTTGCCTGATCCAGGAACCACTTCCTAGAGCCATGAGACAAAATTGGTCATAAAATGCCTCCCAAATGTTGGTTGAATTTATGACCAAGAGGAAGTGCTGTGGACAAATAATGTCACCTGCCATATCAGTAAGCAAAGCATGTTGTGGCCATCAAGCCATCAGGCACTTAAGCTGCCCCCACCCCCATAAGTAAGGTGCATATCAAAGGAATAATTTCATTAAGCCCAGACTCTTGCATCGTCCCATATATAGAAAATCAGTTAACTCAACTTGAGATGTCTGGTTTTTCTTTAACTAGCAGTAATATTTTGGTGTTTGACTACCTGGGGTTTTTTGGCAAAAGCTCCTATATATCCTGGCTCCTCCCTTACCTCTTTGGAACAATCCCTCAGAGCTATCTGAGAGGTTGTATTCCAGGCCTAAGTCCTCAGTAACGCCCCAAATAAAACATTTGGTTTTATTTACTTTTAGGTTGTGTATTTTATTTCAGTTGACAGTATGTCCCAGCCTGCACTGGGGAGATCTGTCAGTGCCCTCTCCCTCAAGAATTTCCCTTAGGCCTAATAAAATATTTTTCATGTGTGAAATGCTTTAAAGTTTGTAAAGTATTTCTCTCACATTCCCTCATTTTTAAAAATAGATTTTATTTCTTAGAGCAGTTTTAGGTTCTACAGCAAAATTGAGTAGATACTCCCTTATTTTTAACTTTGATTGTCACATCTACCCTTCAAATAGGTAGGACAGGTGTTATTATCTCTCCATTTACATTTAAATTACATTTAGAATCACACAGTAGCAAACAGAGCCTGGTGCTAACTGAGGTCTTCTGATCTTTTAAGCCTCAGGCACTTTCTCTTGGTTCCCACAGAGTGCCTTCAGAATCTTTCCAAATCTTTCCGGAAACTGTGGATCATCTCTCATTCTCAGAGCTTAGAAATTAGTTTGAGAAGTTCCCCCAGTTTCCCCCTTGAATGGAGGGGCCCACAGAGAATCCATCTGTCTTTGGGGGAAGGTCTACTCTCTCAGGCTCTGGCAGAGACAGTGGGACCTAGAACTTGTACAATGCCCTGATAAGCTTCTTAGAGGCGGGGATTAGCAGGGATTGGATATCCTTCCCCTGAGATGCCCTTCATACCTGACCCTGCCTTGAATTAGGATTCCATAGGGGAGCTGGGAGCAGGAGATGGGGTGTTCCCTGCTGTACAGCTTCAGACTCACTCTTTGAGACCCTGGATTCTGACAAGTTTCCAGAACTGAGAAGATACCCAGATGTCCAGGTTTGAAGGTAAATGATGTGATTAGGTAGGAGGGATCAGCTGGGGTGCCAGCTCAGCTCTGTTACATAACAGTGGCACACCAGTAAGAGATACTCTCCAAAGTTTCTTTTGGAGATTCAGAGTGTTGAGTATATGGCGAGGGTTAGATAGACAGGGAGATGGTGGAAAGACAATGATAGGAATCAAGGACAAAGAAGGAAATTCACTTATTCCATACTTATTTTGCTTTTTAAGACAATTGTATTTGCATTGCTAATTAGTGTGGTATGCTGGAAAGACTGGGACTTTAGAAAGCTCATCTGCACTGCTGCTCACTAGCTGTGTGATGTTGAGCAAGTCACATGTCTCTGGACCTCAGTTTCTTCATGTCTCAAATGGGGAGTTGCATTAAACAGTGTCAGTAATTCTTTCCACCTTTAATGACCTAAGATTCTATGGGTTATTCATCTAACTTGTAATATATTACTTCTTATGCAAAACTGATCATTTCTAGTTATTGTTTTGTAATAACCTGTGGACATTGATTAGAGATTTCATATTTAGTTGGGCTGGGCTTCTCTGCCCTTCTTTATAAATTGAGAATTCTTTGAGGGCCTTAAATGTTTTTCCCTCCTGAGTCCTTATGTAAAACTAACCCCTACGGGGCATTGATTCTGTACAATGCTTTTCCCAGACCAGATGTGTTTTTACTCTCCTAACATTCCTGTGACATAGCTATTGTTATTACTATTTACATAGATGGGTATTGTTATTACTATTATTATTTCTATGAAAGTAAATTTAAAATATTATACAATGCACAGGATAAAAAGGTTAAACAGTTAGACTGAATAATAGGATATACTGAAAAGTAAGTCTCCCTCTGATCCCTGACCATTAGTTTCCCTTTTCCAGATGTCCTTTCAGAGATAATCTTTGCATAATCAGTGCATATGTTATCATGCCCATTTTACAGATGAAGCACTGAGGTTCAGCCTGTCCGGGGTGACACAGCTAGTAAGCAGCAGATCTGGGAACCTAGCCTTTGACTCTATTCCCCATGTTCCTCCCATGACACCACACACTGTCTGGGAAGCTTCATGACGTTAAATTTTAAGCTTTGTCCTCTCTGAATGATGGTGGAATCATTTTAAAATCAGTCCAGTAAAAACACATAGAGCCTTGTACTGCTTTCCACTACTGCCCCTTTCTGTCTAAAGCTTAAAATCTTATCTCCTTACTTCCCTTTTGCCTTGGATAAGGTGAGATTTGTGGCCTGGGACACCAGCTACAGATGACTGAGCTCCCAGCAACTCTGACTGGACCTGCAGAGTGTGGGCAGACCTCTTGCAAGCATCCCTAGGAGGGCTGGGTAGACCCAGCTCAGGAACCTGGGTTGCTGGCATGCCTATACAGCAAAGAGGACCCCAAGATGCTCTTTTTCCCATGAGGAGACATTGCCCCCTGGAGCAGGGGGCAGGGGTTGTTTTGTTCCAGCAGAAACAACTGCCTTTCACTACAAAGGCCCCTGTGTGAATAGTCACTCTTCCAGATGAGGATTTGGTGGATCCCAGCTCTCTTTTTAGGAGCAAATAACCTCTTCTTTTTTCTTCTTTCTAGGTTTGTGGTTACCCTCTGGCTGGGCTTCATGGAGAAATCTTCTCTGATTTCTAATCTAAATCCCAGAGCAGCCCCCGTCTTTCAGTGGACAGAATGAGAGGCCTTCTGTAACCAGGCATAACTGGCCATCATGGGGAAATTGATCAGGATGGGAGTGCAGGAGAGGCGGTTACTCTGGCCAAAGCGGCTTCATTGGAGGCGCCTCCTCTTCCTATTGGGAATGCTGATCATGGGTTCCACCTACCAGTACCTGAGGAGCCCCCGGGGGCTCCCTTCACTGTGGGCAGCAGTCTCTTCCCAACACCCTGTAAAACTAGCCAGCCGGGACCTTTCCAACAATGAGATGATGATGGTGAGCAGTGACCCTCCAAAATCTAGCCCTGAGATGGAGGTTGAGACATGGGCACCCCAAGCCACAGTAGGCAGAGATGGAACAACACCTGGTGTAACAATGGAGAACACCCCCAGTATACCTAGAAGAATAGCCAACGTCATTCCAGCAACACCCAAGAGCAGCGACAGCCCAGCAGCAGCCCGCACAGAAAAAGTGAAGGAAGACACCCCAGCCACACCCAGTGGAGCACTGAATCACTACCCTCCAACTTCAGGCAGACCAGTGGTAAATAATTATACCCCAGCAACACGCAGGGGAGAAGTGAAGAGCTACCGCCCAACTCAAGCCAGGGGAAAGGTGAGGAAATACACCCCATCCCCACTTGGTAGGATGGTGAACAGTTACGCCCCATCCACATTCATGACAATGACCAGGAGCCATGGGATCACCCCCAGAGCAACAGTGAAAGACAGTGAAATTATGACAACCAACAAAATACTGGAGACCAACCCTTCCAAGAGAGTATTGGGGGAAACCACCCCAACTCCTCTCAAGGGAGTAACTGATAACGCCCTACCCTTCCTGATAAATGACTTAGAAACCGACATCTTGACTTCTGCAGGGAATGTGGCAGAAGGGAAGACCCTAACTACCACCAGAAGAGTGGACAATAATAGCTCAACCAACCACCGGGGGTTAGTGGGAAAAAACAGCCTGACAACACCCCAAGGAACAGTCCTGGAGCACACCGCAGCCACCTCTGAGGGGCAGGTGGCAGTAAGCATCACGACAGAAACCAAAGCCTCTACTGCTGCATGGAAGGCTAGGAATCCCTCGTCCAGAACCAGTGCACCGACCGTTGGAATATCCTCAGCCACCTTCTGGGGGCTGGTGAAGAACCCTTCACCAGCACCCACCACTCCAGCAACTCCCAGGGTCAGGGCAAGTCCGACCACTCAGGTCCATCACTGTGTGGTTGTGGAGCCAGTCCCAGTCTCGTCCACTGACCCCTCCCCCAGTCTGACAACAGCTGGGATGCCAGAGACTCCCAGTCCCTCAGTACTGCCTTCTGGGCAGCCAGACCTCCACCCCAAGGCAGAGTACCCCCGAGACCTGTTCAGTGTGAAGGAGCGGAGGCAGGGCTGGGTGGTCCTGCACATCTTTGGCATGCTGTATGTGTTTGTAGCCTTGGCCATCGTTTGTGACGAGTACTTTGTCCCAGCGCTGGGTGTCATCACAGACAAGCTGCAGATCTCTGAGGATGTGGCAGGTGCTACCTTCATGGCTGCTGGAGGCTCTGCCCCCGAGCTCTTCACCTCCCTCATCGGCATCTTCATCTCCCATAGCAATGTGGGCATCGGCACCATAGTGGGCTCTGCGGTGTTCAACATCCTCTTTGTCATTGGCACTTGTGCCCTCTTCTCCCGGGAGATCCTCAACCTCACCTGGTGGCCCTTGTTCCGTGACATCACCTTCTACATCCTTGACCTAATGATGCTCATCCTCTTCTTCCTGGATAGCCTCATTGTCTGGTGGGAGAGCCTGCTGCTTCTGCTGGCCTATGCCCTCTATGTGTTCACCATGAAGTGGAACAAACAGCTTGAGCTCTGGGTGAAGAAGCAGCTCAGCAGGAGGCCAGTGCCCAAGGTCATGGCCCTAGGGGACCTTAGCAAGGTAAGAACAGGTTGGCTCAGGCTTCTCTGCCCCCTTTTGGGCAAAAGGGGTGGGGGAAAGCCAGGGACTGAAGAATGGAAAGTGCTAGGTCAGACCTCAAGAGATGAGTGAGTGTTCTGGTTCCCTTGCAATGCATTCAATATTTATAGAGTCCTGTTCTCTGCCAGGCACTATGCTGGGGCTTTTGCAGGAGTGAACTTGGGTCAGCCCTTAATCGTCCTATAAAATGGTTATTATTTGGATCCCCCATTGGCAAGGGAAGAAACTGAGGCCTAATGAAGTTAAACCACTTGTTCAAGGTCACACAGCAAATAGATGGTGGGGCCAGGATGAACCCGGGTTGTTCTGATTGGGTCTTCAGAAATGACATTTGAGCTGGGCTTTGGAGAATGTCCAAGGAGATATCAGGCAGGGAAAAATGATAAAATGGGCATGGTGTGTAGGGTTTATCTAGCACCCTCACTTTCATTTAATCCTGTTTATTCACATTCCAGACCTGGAGGGGCTGGTAGTTTGGTTAGGATCTGAGAAGGAGGAGGCTTTTTGAGTTTTGTTTTGTTTTTAAAATATTGAAGATGGGAGCTCCACTCATCCACTGACAAGCCAGCCGTGAGTGCAGAGCCCTTTCTCTGTGCTGACTGGAGACTGAGAGCTCCAACTCTGGGGCATTCTTCTGACCCCATAGTTCCTTTCCAAGAATTTCTCTGCCCCTGTGAGGGACCTTCCTGCTAAATTCATTGCATGATTCAATAATCTGGATAGTGAAATTTAATTGGGAAAGTGATCTCTAAAAATTCATCCCCAAGTATTTTGTTCCTTGAGACTCCAAAGTGAGGGTTCCCTAGGGAACGCAGACCCCCATTTCTCTCATGCTCCTGAAGGGTGAGTTTGGGCAAAAGTTGGTTCATAGCCTGCCTGTTTCAGATCTCAGGCCACTAGTGTGAGCAGAATTTTGCATGCAAAGAGTGGAAGGATTTAGCTGCTTAATCCAGTGCAGTTTTGATGAGTGGGCAGGGTGGAGACCAAACTCAGCAACGTGTCTCAGAGATGTGTGATACAAGGAGATGAAATGTACTTCCTTTAGGACTTCTGAGGTATGTGTGGTGTTCAGAGCATAGAATTGAGAGTCAGGAAACCTGGGTTCTAATCCAGTTCTGCCTCTAACTATGTGACCTTGGACAGGTCCTTTCCCATCTCTGGCGGAAATGACAGAGTCCAACTAATCATGCAAATGTTCTGTGTAGCGGTAACATTCATTGATAATGTCTTGTGTCTAAATGAGTTCCGTTCTGTCAGGCCCAGCACAGCTGTTGTTTCTCTGATCTGGTCAGCCGACTTCCAATTAGTACATTTTTGCAGATGGCCCAAAAAGGAGAAATATCCTGCCCAGGGTTGGACAGCCAGAAGGTATCCTCACTGGAATGGGAACCCAGTATCCTAACTCCCCATTCGGTACTATTTCCCTCCAGATGACTGCTCTTAAGAAGCCAGAGGCTTAAAAAAGAAAGGGAGGCTCAGAGCATTACCTCATTTAATATGAGGAAACAGGGTCCTCCCTCCTCATGAAGTTCTCAGGGCAGGCTTTGCTGAGGGTGGCCATGAAGTCTGGTACTATTCTCTGAGAAAGTATCTAATGCCTTGGTATACATTAGGCCAGCAGTTTTCAAAATTGGGACTTACCTGGTGGGCCAGTGGTTAAGACTTCACCTTCCGATGTAGGGGGTGCAGGTTTGATTCCTGGTCGGGGAGCTAAGATCCCACATGCCTCATGGCCAAAAGGCCAAAATGTAAAACAGAGGCAATATTGTACCAAATTCAATAAAGACTTTAAAAATGGTCCACATCAAAATGCCTCTTGACTTGCCTCCCAGTCCTTCATAGTAATTCTGTTTTTATTTAAACTCTGCAAATTCTCAATTTTCAATTTTGTCAGAACTAGACCATCAAAGCAAAGCTTGCCAAGCAAGTAAAGCATAATCATGATTTCAAAAGAGAATTTGTAACTTACTTAAAACATTCTTCAAGGCCTTTAGTAGCAGTTCTTTGCCAACCAGTGAGAGCAGTGCTGATTACAACTGTTCTTATCTATTTATTGAAACAGATCCAGTATGAATTTTTTTTTTTTTTTTTGCGGTGCGCGGGCCTCTCACTGCTGTGGCCTCTTCCATGGCAGAGCACAGGCTCCGGACGCGCAGGCTCAGCGACCATGGCTCACGGGCCCAGCCGCTCCGTGGCATGTGGGATCTTCCTGGACCGGGGCATGAACCTGTGTCCCCTGCATCGGCAGGCAGACTCTTAACCACTGCGCCACCAGGGAAGCCCCAGTATGAATTTTATTAACAGCATTATTAAAAAAAAAAAAAACAGGTTGAAATACTGGCTGTCCTTGAAAGTAAATTTATATTTATTTAAAATTGAAAACCTATAGTTAGGACTTTGCAGCACTAACAACTACCTTCTAAAAATTAGTCCAGATAATTAAAGTGTAGCTATTTTGAAGTGATTTTTAAAAACATCTGGATTTGGAGTTTCACCCCAGGTTTCTTAAAGCCAGAGAGAGCGGTAACTGCCTTTGCTTATATCATTCTGTCTGTGTTTGGCTGCCCCAAGACCTGTGATCTTGTTAGAGGGAGGTAAATTATCCTGTACTTCAGTGACAGACTGAGGCAAGCCATTCTGTTTGAATTCTTGAAGCAGTTCTCTGAAAATCCAGTCTTTGATCTAGTAAACTGTGTTGGTATTCATTTTTGTGATTTATGCAAGAATGTGTACTCACCTCTGCAAATTATCTTACTTTAACTATGAAACTTTATGAAAATGAACATGCCTTGCTTACTCCCTCACTCATGCTGACCTATCAGTTCACACCTCTTCCCTGACTAATGGGTTCCTTCTTTGAGCTTCTCCTTGAGAAGGCAGGGGGTCAGGGAAACTGGGCTTATTCAGTCAGCCACACACCCAAAGGTAAGGAAGTAAGAGAGAAGTGCGGAAAGGCCAGAGCGAGTGATAGGGAGTCAAGGAGGAGGGTTGGGGAGAAACCAAAGCCACAAGTGCTCAGGAAGTTTAAGCAGGGGGAAGACAATTAGAGGGCAGTGGGAGCCAGCTCCTTCTTGGAGGGAAACAGGAACGGGAAAGACACTTGGGCCTCCCCCTTCCTCTGTTGGCAGCCTGGGGTGAGGTGTGGCCACAGTGTTAGGGTCATCATTGCCACTAAATGGGGGAAATAATCTTTATATCTCCCAAAGTGCTGAGCCCAACGTCTCATCCCTAAAGCAGAAGCTCCACAAGTATTTGGTGGTTTCCTCAGGGAACTCTTAACAGGTCAGGGTCTCCAGCTTATAGAGAAAAAGGAGTAGGGGAGGGAATCCATACTTGTGGGGGGCCTATGACATACGTACATTATCTCGACAATTTCTCATAAAACCCCTGCAGGAGGGGAGTTCCCTGGTTGCCTAGTGGTTAGGATTCTGGACTTTCACTGCTGTGGCCCAGGTTCAAGCCCTCATCGAGGAACTGAGATCCCCCAAGCCCTGCAGCGTGGCCAAAAAAGAAAAAAAAAAAACAACCCTGCAAGAATAAATTGTTATTGCCATTTTGCAGATGAGGAGACTCTGAGGCTCGGAGAGGATAATTAACTCTGCCAAAGTTACGCAGCTAGTTGGTGGTCCTTATCACCAGTTTATGAATCCATTTATCTGGGTCTTAACCCAGTATCCATGGCTAACTATCCCTGTTATCCTGGGCAAGTCAGTGCTTGCCTATATTATTAAGCACTTAAATGAAAAGCAGTGTGGGAAGTAAAAAGATCATGTCCCTTCCAGTAGAAGGGACAGACATAGACAAAAGTAACTGATAAAAGGAACACTGTGCAAAGTGCTACAAAGTCACTTTGCTTTTCTTCGAGGTCTCACGCTGCTCATCTGTAAAGCGAATGGGATGGACTAGTGTAGGGGTCGGCAGACTTTTACTGTAAAGGGCCAGACAGTAAATATTTTAGGCTCTGTAGGCCATATAGTCTCTATCCAACTACTCAACTCTGTTGTTGTTAGCTTGACAGCAGCCACAGACAATAAGTAAACGAATAGGAATACCCCTGTGGTGTTTTACTAAGCAACATAATCGCAGGTGTTCTCCTACCTGAACAATTTGGAGATGTAAGATCAACTGAGAATGATTCATTTTCTTATCAGATATTCACCCAACTGATTATCTGTGGAGTTTCTCAGCTGGAGGACCTTTCACTTTACTTTTTATTCTGCTCTGGTAATCTAGAACCAGGATAAAGTTTTTTTTGTGAATGATTCTAATCAGAAATTACTTAAGAGTATTTTCAGAAAAAATAAATGTATCATTGAACCTAGACACATAGTAACTATTTTAGAGTCTTTCTTTTCACACTGGCTGGAAAAAAAAAATTCAAAGCTAAAAATATTTCAGACAACATTGTCAAACTGACATGTATTGGTTTGAGGATGCCTTTTATGAACCCAATGAAGAAATGGTAAATTTTTTTTTTGAGATATATTAATTAATTTATTTTTAATTTACTTATTTAATTTATTTATTTTTGGCTGCATTGGGTCTTCGTTGCTGCGTGCGGGCTTTCTCTAGTTGTGGCTAGCGGGAGCTACTCTTCGTTGCCGTGCGCGGGCTTCTCATTGTGGTGGCTTCTCTAGGCACAGGCTCTAGGCACGTGGGCTTCAGTAGTTGTGGCTCATGGGCTCTAGAGCGCAGGCTCAGTAGTTGTGGTGCACGGGCTTAGTTGTTCTGCAGCATGTGGGATCTTCCCAGACCGGGGCTTGAACCCATGTCCCCTGCATTGGCAGGTGGATTCTTAACCACTGTGCCACCAGGGAAGCCCAGAAATGGTAAGTGTTTGCATAGTTATCGACACAGTCTAACTTAGCTTGCTCTGAAACTTTTTTACCTGGTTTTAAAGCTCTCGGTGTTATTTGTTCTGGCCCCAAATGATAAATATTTGACCTTCCTTGACCATGTAT